CCATCAACTCTGACCAGCTTCCCTGTCCCTGCTGAAGAAAAGCATCCCCACAATATAATGCTGCCACCACCATGTTGCACGGTGGGGATGGTGTGTTGAGGGTGATGTGCAGTGTTAGTTTTCCACCACACATAGCGTTTTGCTTTTAGGATGAAAAGTTCAATTTTGGCCTCATCTGACCAGAGCACCTTCTTCCACGTTTATAGTGTTCCCCACATGGCTTCTTCCAAATGGGACTTCTCATGGTTTTCTTTCAACAATGGCTTTCTTCTTGGACGGCCATGTCTTTGTAGGTTTGCAGTTGTATCATACGCTTTCCATTTTCGGATGATGGATTGAACAGTGCCCCGTGAGATGTTCAAAGCTTGGGATATTTTTTTTTACAACCTAGCCCTGCTTTAAACTTATCCACAACTTTATCCCAGACCTGTCTGGTGTGTTCCTTGGCCTTTGTGATGCTGTTTGTTCACTAATGTTCTCTAACAAACATCCGAGGGCTTCACGAAACAGCTGTAGTTAAACAGATTAAATTACACACAGGTGGACTCTATTTACTAATTAGGTGACTTCTGAAGGCAATTTGTTCCACTAGATTTTAGTTAGGGGTTTTAGAGTAAAGGGAGCAGAATACAAATGCATGCAACACTTTTCAGATATTTGTAAACAAATATTGAAAACTATTTAGCATTTTCCTTTCACTTCAAAATTATGTGCCACTTTATGTTGGTCTATCACATAAAATTCCAATAAAACACATTACGTTTTTGGCTGTAACATGACAACATGTGAAAAATATCAAGGGGTATGAATAGATTTTTTTTTAACTTGCCTGGCGGTGTTCCTGAGTGTAGCTCGGGGTTAACTTTCAGTACCAAAAGCGGTAACCCCGAGCTACACTCGGGATTACCCTGCAGCGTTGCTCTGGGATTCCCTGTTTTACTTACCTTGTCCTGCACTCCCGCGATGTACCCCCTGCAGCAGCATCAGTCTTCCGGGCCTTTTGGCTAAGATCAAGTGTAGTATCTGTTCTTATCAGTGTCCAGCGGGGGTGCTCCCGACCATTCTAGCTTTGCGGGGATGGTTGTTGTATAGTACCCTCACTGGTATGATGGGGGTCCGGAAGGCTGGACCGGAGGGACAGAAACCAGGGGGCGCCACGATACGCTCTGGGACCTTGGGAGTAATTCCTCTGGGAAAGCTGGAAAGACCCAGTACCTCCTGATTTGGACGGATCTACCTTGGTCTGGCCTGGGGACGCAAAAAGTCCGCAAACTCAGTGCCCCCTGGGGAAGACGCTCTCAGGGGTGTCACTAGTAACACTTGGGTGTGGGACCCCACGGTGTGAAGATGACACATGGCCACTGTTTTTCACTTCTTTTTACACAGCGCCCTAAGGACCAGGTCTTTTGGCTAAGTCCGGGGCAATTTTTGCTACAGGCCTCAGGGCCTGGTCTGTGCACTATTAGGCACGGTACCACTTTTTTATTTTTTATTTATTTATTTAATCACTCCCACGTTTTGTCACTTTTTCTGTTCTTATGTGTGTGTTTTTCACGGATGGAGGGTGTGGGTCCTCGGGCCTTACCTGAAGTCTAGGGGGAGGATGTGTGGCCCTACGGTTCCTTCCTCCCCTGATCCCTAGGGGGTTTTCTCTTCGGGAGAACCCCCTTGCCTAGTACTGGATGTCCGGCTTCGGCTGGGCATAAGGAACGGTGGTCCACCAGGCCTTTTGGCCAGGAGGACCAAATGGGAACCTTGTCCCTGTCAGGAGCTTCGTGCCCCGGGGGATCGGGTGAACGGTCCAACCCTTCCGGGGGTAGGACAAACACACCCCTAAGTGCACTTTTTCGTGTGGTGTTCGCACTTGCACATTTTTTGTGATCACTTACGGGTTTTTCGTTGTAGTTTGCACGTTTGCGGACTTAAAAAAAAAAAAAAAAAAAATCAGTCTTCCGGGTTCCAGTCACTGCGAGCGTCGGGACGTACGGGGGACAGAACCGGCGGGAAATGTAAACATTTTAAAAAATGACATTCACTAAATACATTAAAATCACATAGTAAAACATTACTGTATCAAAGCATTTCACATACATTTTGTCCCGAATGCTTTGTCCTGTGCCCTGCCTGCATTTTTTACTGTTCCTTCTGCCTGGAAACTGAGAAAAGTCCATGGCATCCAAAAAGCGTCCCTTTAGGTCAAAAGCGGTATTGGACCAGCTAGAGAACAGCGATAGTAAATTAGAACCACTTGCAGAATTGAGTGATGATTCGTGGGGGAATTCGTCATGAGACACTGAAAATGATTTGGCGACTAAGATCAGTGATGAGCGAACTTGGCGCTATATTTCAAATTTCAGTGTTTTTGGTTTGATTATATTATTTAATTAAATGTATTATATTATTATTTTTTAATGATTATTTATATTATAATTTGAGATTTCATGTTCAAATTTTATCATACCCGGGGTGTTTACTAGACACTTGTTCAGACAGATTTCAGTGAGTTATTCCTAAAAATTACAGGCCTACAATAAAAAAAACAACATATTTCCATGAAAAAAATTTACCACTTTGAGCACAGAAATATTGACATAATCATACCACTAGGGAGGTTAAGGCACCGTAACTGTCCAGTAGTAAAGCAGTGAACTAATTGATGTCACTGGAAGCACCCAGAAGCCAAGTCCAAGATAAGCAACGTGTTATCTTTTAAAAAGATTTAATAATTTTTTTTTTTTTTTTTTTTCAGTTTTTATTTGGGGTTGTGTGTGCATACTTTATTAGTGATATTTCCATTTTACAGCAAAAACAGGTGCTGTACAGTAATTCAAGGAAACAAAATAAAAAAAAAAAAATTTAGCTATTTGGGGCTTCCTGCTAGCTGCATAGCCCCTAACGTTTCAAAGTACATCCAAGTTCCTATAGTACCATCGTACCTCCCGTAGTGGTCTGCACTGTCTCACAGTGCCCCTAGGAGTAACAGTCCCTAAAGTGCACCCCCCCCTCCCCCCCATTGCCCCATGCCAGCTGCAGAGGCTCTAGCCCCAATAAGGTCTCACAATTCCTCTAACATCTGCAGTGCCTTCCACACTCCTACATTGCCCCTGCAAAACCCCTCATTCAGAACCTCCATCCCCCACAGTGACTCTCATACCTATAGAGAGCCTTTTAGAATTTCAATACATGCTTTGTATTCCCATACTTTTATTGTGCAAGTATGAACTTTTTTTTTTTGATTTAACCACTTTACAGCTGCGCTATAGCCGAATTGAAGGCTACAGTATGGTTGTCCAGTTCTGAGAGGATGTCAGATGACATCCTCCCAGAAAGCACCCCCTGCGTGCCCCCAGCGGTGTCCAGTGACAGCAGATTACAAAGTAAATACAGTTGGCGATAACCGGCAAATGTCACAGAGGACACCCGCAATGGATGATTAGTGCCCTGATCATCAGTGCCACCCACCAGTGCTGTCAATCATTGCCCATAAGTTCCACCTATCAGTGCTCGTAAGTGCTGCCTGTCAGTGCCGGAGCATCACTGCCTCCTCACCAATGCCCACCAGTACCACCTCATCAGTGCAGCCTATCAGTGCCCATCAGTGCTTCCTATCCGTGCCACCTCATCAGTGCTGCCTATCAGTGCAGCCTCAACGCACTTCAGTAAAGGAGAAAACTTACCTGTTTGCAAAATTTTATAATAGAAAAACAAATAAAAACTAATTTTTTTCACATTTTTTGCCCTTTTTTGTTTACAGTGCAAAAAATAAAAATCCAGTGGCGATTAAATACAACCAAAAGAAAGCTCTATTAGTATGAAAAAAATGATAAAAATTTCATATGGGTACAGCGCTGAATGACCGCACAGTTGTCATTCAATGTGCAACAGCACTGAAAACTGAAAATTGGCCTGGGCACAAGGGGGTAAAAGTGCCCAGTATGCAAGTGGTTGATGTTGGGAAACTGAAGATTTTGGAGTAGTTTGCCAGGCCCTGGTCTAAACAAGGTTGAGAACCACTGGCCTAGAAGCTCTGGAAAGTATATGAGAGGAGCCTAAGGGAATTGTAAATACTGATCATTCTTGTTTCCCTGTGAGACATCGCACTACAACACTTTGTAGCAGTTTGTAATATTGTATCTTTGTCTCTCCTCAGCTAAAGCGGCAATGCAGAGAAGGTGGGACGCAGTGATATATATTCAAGCAGAGAAATATGTTTACAAGCACTTACATACAAACTTCTCTGAACACGAAAATAGCGGTTTAGATACCAACTATTGGTCTAAAATTTGAAGCTGTCAATGAGGGTACGGGGAACTTTAAAATCTTCCTATAAAGGCACTAGTTTGACCCTGGTGACAACCAAGGATTCCCTTGATTTGGAAGGATTTCCTTTCAATTCCTGTTTTGGCTATGAGGCAGGAAGTGAAGGGAAATATCCCCAATGGAACACAGATGGCAAAAGAGAGAGGAGTTCTAATCCTTTCTTACACGGTCCAGAATAAAAAACACAAAATTCCATAATAATTCTATGGTCAAAGGAAAAAAAAACAGTACAGTTCTGTGCAAAAGTTGTAGACAGTTTTGAAAAATGCTGTAAATTGGGAATGTTTTCAGTGATAGAAGTGTTAATACCGTATTTTTCGCTCCATAAGACGCACCTGACCATAAGACGCACCTAGGTTTTAGAGGCGAAAAACAAGAAAAAAAAAATATTCTGAACCAATGGACTGCAGACATAGTACAGGGGATGACCAGAGACTGCGGACACAGTACAGGAGATGACCAGAGACTGCGGACAGTACAGGAGATGACAGAGACTGCGGACACAAGTACAGAGACTGCGGACACAGTACAGGAGATGACCAGAGAGACAGGAGATGCAGAGACTGCGGACACAGTACAGGAGATGACCAGAGACTGCGGAACACAGTACAGGAGATGGACCAGAGACTGCGGACACAGTACAGGAGATGGACCAGAGACTGCGGACACAGTACAGGAGATGGACCAGAGACTGCGGACACAGTACAGGAGATGACCAGAGACTGCGGACACAGATACTGCAGAGATGACCGGACAGACAGTACAGGGGATGACCAGAGACTGCGGACAGTACAGGATACCAGGGAAGTGCAATGACCAGAGACTGCAGACAGTGCAGGGATGACCAGAGACTGCAGACAGTGCAGGGATAACCAGAGACTGCAGACAGTGCAGGGATGACCAGAGACTGACCAGAGACTGCAGACAGTGACCAGGGGATGACCAGAGACTGCAGACAGTGCAGGGGATGACCAGACAGACTGCAGACAGTGCAGGGGATGACCAGAGACTGCAGACAGTGCAGGGGATGACCAGAGACTGCAGACAGTGCAGGGGATGACCAGAGACTGCAGACAGTGCAGGGGATGGGATGACCAGAGACTGCAGACAGTGCAGGGGATGACCAGAGACTGCAGACAGTGCAGGGGATGACCAGAGACTGCAGACAGTGCAGGGGATGACCAGAGACTGCAGACAGTGCAGGGGATGACCAGAGACTGCAAACAGTGCAGGGGATGACCAGAGACTGCAGACAGTGCAGGGGATGACCAGAGACTGCAGACAGTGCAGGGGATGACCAGAGACTGCAGACAGTGCAGGGGATGACCAAAGACTGCAGACAGTGCAGGGGATGACCAGAGACTGCTGACCTTTGGGGAGGGAGGGGGAGCGGGTACCTGAATTTGACAGGTACCCGCTCCCACTTCCGCGGAGTTGTCCTTCCCTCTTCTTCCCGCGCCGGCTTCTGTAAAAGCCGGGTGCCCACTGTGCATGCGCAAGAAGCGCTGCGCTTTGTGAATGGCCCGGCGTCTTCTGGGACCTGTTATGTGTCCCAGAAGACAACGGACCACTCACAAAGCGCAGCGCACGCGCAGTGGGCACCCGGCTGTCACAGAAGCCAGCACGGGAAGACTGTGCAGCGCTGGAGCGAGGAACAGGTAAGGCCCTGCAGGAGAGAACAGCTGAGCGGCCGGCCCGGTATTCTGACATGGTGGAGGCAGAAATATCGGACCGGCCGCTTTATATTCGCTCCATAAGACGCACTGACATTTTCCCCCCCTTTTTTGGGGGGAAAAAAGTGCGTCTTATAGAGCGAAAAATACGTTAGTTTATTTTTATCAATAACAAAAATGTAAATAAATTTAACAGAAATCCAAATTAAATCAATATTTGGCGTGACCACCCCTTGCCTTCAAAACAGCTTCAATTCTTCTCGGTACACTTGCACAGAGTTTTGGAAGGATCTTGGCAGGTAGGTTGCGCCAAACATTTTGAAGAACTAACTACACATCTTCAGGGTTGAATGGTTATACCAGGATGATGCCTACAGCTGCAGGCATCATCCTGGTAACATTTTTTTTCAGCTGGCGATTGCCTTTCAGGTAAGATCAATCCTAGTGTATAATTAGCTGCAGGATTGCTTTTACAAGCATCGGGAGAAAATGTCCCCCCTCCCCCGCTGCCTTCCTTGGCCTTCTCGGGCAGTCCCGTGCCATCGGGGGAACCTGAGAATGCAGACGGTGTTTCTGCCAGCTGACCATAGAGCTGATTGGAGACCAGAATGATGCCAATCATCTCTATAGCCTAAGAAATCAGAAGCTACGAGCATTTCATTACTTCAGTTTCGCAGGATATAAGCAGGATGTAAATTAGGAAAGCATCTGATCACTCCGATCTTAGTTTGATTAGATAATGTAAGGGCAGAGGAGATATCTAGAGTCTGATAGAACCCAGATTTCTGGAAAAAGAATATATGACAATGCTCATTGAAGTTATAGGGGATATTTGCATTCCCCGTGATAGCTTTAAAAGTGATCAAAAAAAAAAAAAAAGTGTAAAAAAATAAAAAAAAAAAGACCCCCCCCCCCCACCGCAACTGCATTCATGAGCCTTGACCCCATGCCGGTATGTAAACAGCGGTTGCACCATACATGTGAGGTATCGCCACAAACGTCAGATCAAGGGCAGTAATTCTAACACTAGACCTCTGTAAATCTAAAATGGTAGCTTGTAAAGGCTTTTAAAATGTTGCCTATGGATATTAAAAACATATGCAGTTTGTCGCATGCACAGTTTTAAAGCATGTCATGTTTGGTATCTATTTACTCAGCATACCATCATCTTTTATATGCTACCAAATAATTGCCCAATAGATTGTGTTTTTGTGCATTAAAAATAAAAAAAAAAAGTGTTTTTTTTTTTAAATTGCGTTTGAAAAATCGCTGCGCGAGTACTATGTTACATAAAAAAATTGCAGCACCCACCATTTTATTCACTAGGGTGATTGCTTTAAAAAAAATATATAATGTTTGTGGTTTAAATTAATTTCCTAGCAAAAAAAATAGATTTTTTTCATGTGAACAAAAATGTCAGCACAGGCTTGGTCTTAAGGTGGTTAGAAGAGTGAATGATGTGTGGTATAAACTTCTAAGAGAATAAACCAGACACGACTTCTCCTGTGCTCTAGGACCCAGGTGGGTGGCAGATGGATGGAACCAGAATTGGAAAAATCGACCACCAATGCATATAGAGTTGTGCAGCTCCAAAAAAGGCTGGGGAAGCCTGACCAATACTGCAAAGCGAAACAAAAACGAGAAGCGCACCAACCTTGCGCAATACCTCATTAACCAAAATTTATTAATTACAAAATCATACTCACAAACAGCGAATAAAATCAGACATGTAAGTCCTCAGAGGGACTTGAAAGAAGAAACCAGTGCGAATCCCATCATGGGGGTAGACACTCAGTACAGCTGAGCTCTGATAAAGAAGGGATGCCCTTCGAAACGCATCAGAGGTACTGAGTGTCTACCCCCATGATGGGATTCGCGCTGGCTCCTTATCTTTCATGTCCCTCTAAGGACTTACATGGCTGATTTTATTTGCGGTTTGTGAGTATCATTTTGTAATTAATAAATTTTGGTTACTGAGGAAATGCGCAAGGTTGGTGCGCTTCTTCTTTTTTGTTTCGCTTTGCATAAATTTCTAATGCTGGGCATAAATAATTTTATTTTTTTTAACACAAGTTTTTGGAAAATAAACAAAAAAAGTTTGGGGTTTTTTTTTTTTTTTTTTTACACAAAATTGTCACTTAAATGATTTATTGCTCACACATGCCATTGGTATATGTGGAATTACTACCCAAAATACATTCTGCTACTTCTCCCGAGTATGGGGGTACCACATGTGAGAGACATTTTTGGCAGTCTAGCCAAGTACAGGACCTCAAAATCCAATAAGCACCTTCAGGCTTTTAAAGGGCTTTATTTCCTCATCACACTTCCTGACTACCTATCACAATTTCAGAGGCCCTGACATGCCAGGATAGCACCAACCCCCCCAAATTACCACTTTTTAGAAAGTAGACACCCCAAGGAATTTGATAAGAAGCATAGTGAGTATTTTGCCACAAGTTTTTGGAAAATGAAGAAAAAGAAAAAAAAAGAAAAAAATTTTTTCTTTTGTTCTTTTTTATATTTCAAAACCTTGTGAGAAAAAAAAATGAGATCTACAAAATACTCACCTATTTGTGTAAAAAAAGGGACAATTTTATGTACAGTATTGCATGTTTACGCAATTGTCAGTTAAACTAGCGCAGCGCCGTATAGCATAAAATGGTGTACATTGCAGTATCGATACCATAGTTTGTAGACACTATAACTTTCACACAAGGCAATCACTATACACTTATCAGAATTTTTTTTTTACCAAAGACATGTAGCAGAATACATTTTGGCCTAAATTTATGACTAACTATATATTTTTTATACCCAAAGTAAAAAATTTTTTTTTTTTTTTTTCGAACTTTTCGGGCTTTTTTGTTTATAGCGCAAACATTAAAAAGGGCACAGGTGATCAAATATCACCAAAAGAAAGCTCTATTTGTGCGAAAAAAGGACATAAATTTTGTTTGGGTATTGCATGACAGCGCAATTATCAGCTGCAATAGTGCAGCGCCGAAAAGCAAAAAAAAAGGCCTGGTCTGTAAGGGGGTTAAATCCTCTGGCGGGCAAATGGTTAAAAAGCCTGCAAGCGCAGTGTAAATTGATACACCATTGCGTTGATGAGGCTGCACTAATAGGCAGCATTGATGGGCACTGATTATGTGGCATGGATAGCCTGCACTGATGAGGTGGCACTGGTGGGCTCTGATAGGCAGCACTGACAGCACTGATGGACAGCACTGAATGGAAGCAAGGCTGGGCACTGATGGTTGGCACTGCAGGGCACTGATCATCTGTGACAACTGCCGGTTATCTGCAGTACTTTCCTCACGCTTTGACAGCATAGGGAAAGTGCAGCCGATAACCGACAACTGAATTTACTCTGATCTGCACTGAATGGCCTTTTACCTCATCACGTGATCAGCTGTGTCATTAGGATGCAGCGATGATGGAGATCACTGGGGGAACGCGGGAGGGCACGTTCTGAGAGGACGTCATATGACGCCGTTTCAGAACTGGACAACCGACCTGCAGCCGTCATTCGGCTATAGCGCGGTTAGCAAGTGGTTAAATGCCTTTTTATTATTATAAAGATGTTCTCTCAAACGATCCCTTCGCCTTTTTGTTGTCCTCCCAACATAATGCTTTTTGCAGGGACATTCCAACAAACAAACAAATCTACTATTACAAGTAATGAAGGAATCAACAGAAGAGGTCTTTCCTGTAGACATAAACGAAAGAGACTTACCTCTTCTAGTGTTCACTCTAATCTTCATGCTATGCATCTATTACAGGGAAAGAAACCCCTTAACTAAGCAAATAATGACAACTCCTTTCTCCTTCAGGGAATCAACTACAATGGGGGCAACTTTAACACTTAAAGTAGGTGCCCTCCTGAACACAACCTCCGGTTTCTCAGATAGCAAATTGACCAAAATGGGATCATTTCTTAGAATCCTCCAATGTTTCAAGAAAATATATTTGACTTGTCTACGTTGTAAGTTGGTAATAAAAAGGACAAACCATCCCCGATTGTGTCCTATTTTGCTGGGTGGTAAACAGGGGGTGTCTATCCATATTTGCTACCTGGCCCATAGCTCTATCAAGACACACCCTATAGTATCCGTTCTCTAGTAACCTTTCTTTCAATATTACCAGTTTGCACATAATAATCCTCTAGATTGTTACAATTTTGTATTACCCTTACACACTTGCCTTTAGGTATATTCCTGAGATAAAGAGGGTGATGGCAGCAATCAGTTGGGATATAACGGCTTTTATCAGTGGGTTTAACCACTTGCCCTCCAGAAGATTTACCCCCCTTCATGACCAGGCCATTTCGTTGCTTTAACTGACAATTGCGCGGTTGTGCAACACTGCACGCAAATTAAATTTATGTCCATTTTTCCCCACAAACGGAGCTTTATTTCGGTGGTATTTGATCGGAAAAAAAAACGACAATTTTGAGAAAAAAAAGCAGTATTTTGACTTTTTGCTATAAAACTTATCCAATAACAAAAAATAAAATTGTCATAAATTTAGGCCAAAATGTATTCTGCTACATAAATAATGAAGCTCTCTTGTGATACTATTACGTGATAAATTAGGTGAGTGGGAGCTGCTAGCACCTAACCATATACCATGTGGAAAAAAAACTAACAAAACCAAAATGATGAAGTGCTACCCTAATAATA